AGAAGCAAATATCAAATAGGGATGTTTTGTTCCGCTCAAATTTGTTTGTTGTGGGTTGCTTTGATATAATGTGCCTGTGAGGTTGCTACTGCTGGTGCTGGTGTTGTTGTTGTTGTTGGTGGTGGTGGTGGTGGTGGTGGTGGTGGTGGTGATGGTGGTGTTGCTGCTGTTGTTGCTGGTGCTGCTGTTGTTATTGTTGTTGTTGTTGCTGTTATTTGTAGTTGATGCTGTTGTTGTTGTTTTTGTTGTTGTTGATGATGACGTTGTTATTGTTATTGTTGATTTTGTGGTGGTGATGACAATGATATTGTATTTGCTGTTATTTTGCAGTAAATATCTCTCCAATCCTCATCCAAAATCGACACAAGTTCGATCAATTCACGGACAGAATACCTCAACCCCAGGGCCGACTCGAGAACAAGTTATACAAAATAGCTCAAAGATGGGCATTCTCAAAGATCTTTCTCACCCATGAATCACACCACAGGTGTTTGTGTGTATATCATATTATTTTTAGAAGTACCAGTAGTTGGAACTTCTATTCATGGCCTACACCAATGCTTGCCAACCCTTTTATAGTCAGCCATTAACCGCTTCATTGCTGACACATTTTCATCTCCGTTTGTACTGAAAATATAGCTGGTTCTGCCTAGAGAGATTTAAGCAAAGCCGAACTATCTTACGCCACATTTAAAAACAAACAATTGACACGTTTTAATCACATCACCTAAATCTTCCGCTGTATTATATTATACCAACAGAACAATGACATAGATCTAGATTCAAATTTGAAGAACACATCAATACGTCTTCACAGCAAGGAAGAGGTTAAGAAGCAACCATTTTCGTGCCTTTGACATACATTAGAAATCTATCTATACAATGCCTGTCACTACTCGGGTGATCTCAGCACCTCCCAAGATGATCAAAATCGCCCGTTAGTCGGTGGTATCACCCACATTGACAACCACTGTTCTATAACGTAAGCTTGTACTTTCAACTGAATAGCAGCACAATGGGAACAAGAAATCGGATGGGATTACTTTATACTTCGAATTCAAGCCAGGGTGGGACAAAGAGAAACAGGGCATAAAAATACAGATTCTATGATATAAATAAACTGAGTTTTAAAAGGATGTTGATGACACCTATCTGGTCTTGGAATAGATCAAACACAGATCACTTAGAATTAGAATTGCTACTCTAGATGACACTTCCAATGCGGCCTGATGTCAAGTCGATCTAAGTGGGAACGTCATCTCGTATTTTAATGGTCAGTACTAGATCTAGGTCCTATCAAGAATGGTAAACTAGTGCTCACGGCACGGTAAAAGATGACCTATTATCCGTACCCCCGTTGCAACCATCTGCTTTCCGCTAGTTTGCTTGTTTCCTTTGGCTTCGTTTTATTTGTAATAAAAACAAAATAAGTGCAACTTGGGCTGAGATTATACGGCAATTTATCTGTTTGAAAGTCATGATTGTTGATGCTTACTCAAGGCTTGCATCAATGAGTATGTCTTCTCAAAGATTATATTATTATTATTGTAAGAGCAGCACGTAGCTCTTCATTGCCGTGCAGTAGCAGTTCAAAGTAAGGACAGTTCGTGTTCACCACGCCTTGAATTTGGGCCCTGTATTCCACGGCACCTTCTGAGTCATTGGGCCGGTCTTTAAGGGTATGCAGACTGCACAGCTTTGTGGAAACTGAAAGTTACTGAAAATGAAATTGAACTCGTACAGCATTCAGTAAATCGAGGCGTCGCTTTTTGTTCCGACATCTTTTTTTATATTGGCAAGGAACACGTGAGCAAATATATTTATTCCAACAAAGTGGGATCCAGATTCATATCTCTTCGCTCTTGTCCTCATTCGTGACTAACTGACACAAAAGAGAATATTCTGAACGAGGAAGAGAAATGGAAGCTATTGGCGAGGCTTAAAACAAACATATTACTCTATCTACTTCTGTTTCGTAAACTTTGGACCGAAGGATTGCTTATGCTTTAAATGCCTTACAGTGATAAACCTCTGTTGTTCTACAATCGCGATTTCTTGCTGTGAGAAAGTTGTCTCGAAAAAGCAAACGGAAAGTATAGAAGTTGATCAATATAATATTAATTATGTTTTGTGATTGTTGAAAATAAATAAAAAGCCTTATCTCTTTAGTACTCGAATATTCAGCAAAAGAAGCTGGAAATACGCTAGTGAAGAAAAGTACACACGTCACTACTGGCCCAGTTTGAATTATTCAAAAAAAGGGTCAATTTTCCCCATCCGTTTTTAACGAAAAAGAAGCTCACTAGCTTATCTGTCTGTCTGTCTGTCTGTCTGTCTGTCTGTCTGTCTGTCTGTCTGTCTGTCT